ACGCCCCCCCCCCCCCCGCGGGGAGTTCTCTGAAGACCTCCAAATTGGCCAAGGTGCGGAAGCGACCCCGATTTAACACCCTTGGGCAATCTCAGGTGGAGCCGAGAATTAGCAGATGCCTCCGGGCACAGAAATCAACCCGCGTTTAGGGCGTGGGGTGCCAGAGCAAGGGTGGAAACGGGCTCGCAAGCAGCCGTTCGTCGCCGGTCCCTGCTCGGACACCTGGAGAAATTGTTTGGGTTTGCCACTTGGCTACGGGAGACCAGGGAGAGAGACCCAGAGGCGGCCGGCGGTGGCCACATGGAGGCGAGTAACACCAAGACCAGTAAGTTTTGCAACGCCACGTTCCCTCGCCGCGCCGAGGGGCGAACAAACCGGTTTTAAGGAAGGGAGGAGAGCCTCGTGAACGTTTCTAACCGGCTCGAGGTGGAAGAACCGTCATCAGCAAGTTCAGAAAAATAAATTAAATCAGCTTTAAGACCGTTTCGTCGTCCTGCTTGCGCCCGGCAGGCCGCGGCCCTCACCATCACAGCAGAGAAGTACATGCTGGTCACGCCGTACATGATGATAAAAATGCGGGCGTCCGAGAGGTTACTGAAGCAGTAATACAGACCGACTGCGGAGAGGAAGGAGAGACAGGTCAGGTTCACCTTCGCAATCTGTTGCCTGCCATAAAAAACAGCCGGCGGAGGCACGTAGCGCTCCACAGCGCCGGTCTCGGCACCGGGAGGAGAGGGGAGGCTGCGGTCGCGGCCGGCAGAGTAAAACCCTCCTGGTGTCGTACGGTGATTTAACAGGTCGGGGTCCGACGACACCTGCGCGGGGCTCACCTGGGAACATGAAAACGAGGAGCTGGAGGTCAAAGTAATAGGAGGACCAAGTGGTGGGCTGGTGCTCGGAGACGGAGGCGATGATGGGGATGTTGTTCTTTGCGTAGGAAGGATCCAGCAGGGAGTAGAAACGCCCCGTCCACGGGGAGATTTTCCCTAGGGGAGGGGAAAAAAAAAAAAATCAATCATATTCCGGTCCAGCAGAGAGCAACCAGCAACGCCGACGCGTTCCCTCACACGGGAAGCACGTGCAAGGCTGAATGAGCGATCCTGGACCTCGTTTAAGGTCTCTATTGCTGAAAACCGCCGTTTTAGAAAGGGAATGAAGTGCGATTTTTCCCTAAAAAGACTTCTCCCCCGCCCGACCTACGTTTTCAGCACCTCTTTGCTACTACCGATCGGCACTCGGTTTCTGAAGCACCAGCTCAGCGTCCCCAGCGTGCGCTGAGTCACGGCAGGTTTCTCTCTGCGCCTCCTCTCACCCGGAGCCCAGACCTTACAGCCGCTCCTCAAGTATTCTCCTGCCGTCGCGCAGGCGAGGGCAGGTCCCGGCCCTCCCCCTCAGCGGGGGGGCCCGCAAGCACTGAAACCGCAGCGCAGAATTAGGATGGACAAATTGCGTGCTCTTCAAAAGAACCGAAAGGAGGCGAAGCCGGCGGTGAAACGCGCCCGTCATCGCCGCCGTCTCGGGCTACCTGTCAGCATCAGCACGGCCCCGATGGTGAGGAGGACGAAGCCGACCAGGGAGATGACGCTCCTGAAGAGGATTTCGAATTGCTGCGGGTTCAGCTTGCTCCGAAGGTAGTCTACGAAGGCGTGGATCTGACACAAGCCGAAGACTCCAAGGGCAGCCATGTGCTCCGAGGAGAGGACGGGCTGCAAGCAGGGGAGAGCATGATCGGATACAGAGGAGAACAAGAGTCGCGCTGCGCCCGGCATCGGCTTTTTGGTTTGGTTTTTTGGTTGTTTTTTTTTTTTAACCCATCACTTCTCAGCAAAATCGCTGCCGAAGTCACGGGAAAGCATCCCCTCCCCGCCGACGGCAGAGCTGGCACAAGTCACTTTCTTACATCAGCTTCGATTCCCGGAGAGGAATCCACACGGAAAAGTAAACCGGCTCTCTTGAAAACGCGAGCGAAGCAGGCGTTTCGCCTGCTACCCCAAGACGCGCGCTGGCGCGAGCGTTTCCTTCACCGAAACCACAAACGTTTTCATGAAAGGCAACGGGTGCCGTGAAGGTTATCAGCGGCTTTGAAAGTCATCCAGTACCTCCAAAAGCTAATCTTGCCAAAGGTCGCAACGCATCAGGGTAACGGGAGCTAGAGCCAGCACCCCCCCACTCGGAACGTCAGCGGCCAAGGCAAGAAGAGAAACCAGGTGCCAACTCGCTGCTGTTCTGCTACGGCCCAACGAAATGACCATCCTTGAGCCTGCAAATCATTCTGGTTCCCCACCTGGAAGCCAACAAAGGAGATCTGCATCGAGAGGATGGTTCCCAAGCAGTAGACCGTGCAATAGGCTACGTAGATCCTGTGGGAGAAGCGGCCGGTCAGCATCAGCACAAGAACGTGCAAGGGGATGAGGTTAATCAGAAAGACGTAGCCACCCCACGAGGAGACCTGCCGAGAGAGAAAACAGACACAAAAACCCCACAAGTTCCAGGGCTGAACAGGTTGCGCAGCAGAGGTCAAAGGCGGCAGGTTTAGATTCTCCTGGGGTTCGCCCAGCGGCGACGCCAGCCGAGATCTGCTCTCTCCAAGGGCACCCTCGACAGCCGCAGCTGCCAGGAGCCCAGATTGTTCAATGCTATTAATAAAACCTCGCACAAAAACCCGCTCGTTTCGGTAAGTGGAAGTGAATGAAGAAA